TTTTTTTTTTTTTTTTTTGCTGGCATGCATAGGTGACTCTAGTAATAATTGGGGCCCTTCCTAAATGTTTAGCTTTGTAAAGGGATTTGATGTGATCTGATGTGATGATAAATGTGAATGGCAAGATAATATCAATTGCTAAACTTTTCATAGCTCTACCTCCTACGTTACATCTGATACACAGATATTAGTCTATCAGACTGTGCAACCAACCGCGAAGATATCGTAAGGTGTATTTGCAATCCATTCAACACTGGAATTGAGGGAGAAAGCGTGGTTGGATTGGAGGGGGAGTGGGGGGGGGGGAGATGAGGGAGTGGAGGGAGAGCAAAAGAGGGTGAGGTGGGGAGGGAGGATTGCAACCTTCATGATCATTTTGCACCAACGCCACTTATCACCACCGATAATTTTGAAAATCTTCCTTTGATGTGTGTTGCTTCTGGGAGAATGAATGTTTGAGACAAATATTTTCTTTTCTAAAATCGATGTAAAAGCCTAGAAGAAAAAAAAATGCACTAGCATTCCTCGAAAACGCCACAATGACAACAATGACCTCACAACCATTGAACGAACCACAAGCAAAGGTTATACGAATCATATTCCGTGTTTTCGAAGCTTCATAATCAGGGTCGGTGCCGCGTGTCATTCACGCATCGCAGTCAACCGGACAGCAGATCAGTCAACGAACAGCTGTCGCCGATTAAGTTATTTAGGCCAACCCGTAGGCTCAAGTCACCGTGAGATTAGTACAGGAAAGCGACTCTGACTCCGTAATCAGTCATAGAACGCCGGTTGAATACACGGTCTAGTGGCGGCCGGACCACGTCTTCTTTTCATTATATCCACAGTCGATGCCTCTACCGAAGTGTAAATCTTTGTATATTATAGGCTGATGGACACTAAATAGAGACAGATGGGTTGGAAGGCAGACAAAAATGTATAGATATATGTGTGCACACATTATTGTAATGGATATGTTTGTGTGTATGTATATATATGTGTGTGTGTGTGTGTGTGTGTATGTATATATATGTGTGTGTGTGTGTGTGTGTGTATGTATGTATGTATGTATGTATGTATATACATACATACACACACACACATATATATATGTATATATATATATATATATATATATATATATATATATATATATATATATTTGTTTATGATATATATACACATATAAACATTTATGTATGTGTATATATATCTGTATAGATAAATATCTGTCTGTATATATTTATATATGTATCTATCAATATATATATATATATATATATATATATATAAAGACAGATACAAATACATATACATATACATATATATACTTACATATGGACATGTACATACACACATGCATACAGACACATACATACATCCACACCCACCCACAGCCAGACACGCGCACACACACACACACACACACACACACACACACACACACACACACACACACACACACACACGTAAAGCTAAGGAGAAAAAAGGGTTGTCAAAAGAACATAAATGTTGCAGCGCCGAATGAAAAGGAAATCCGGCCTACATACGTGGATAACGGGACCTTCGCCTTCTCATTCCAAAATCACTGCAGAGGTAATTGGATAAGTGTAGTTAAAGGGCGCTTGAACCAGTCACAAATTGCTAAATCGGGAAAAAACGAATAAGAGGCAACAGCAGGAGAGAGAGAGAGTGAGAGAGAGAGAGAGAGAGAGAAAGAGAGAGAGAGAGAGAGAGAGAGAGGCGAACGGACAGACGGAAAGACAATATGATAGACAAAATAATAATAAATTAATAAAGGAGAAGGCTGAGAAATACCAAATGATATATGTTCCTACAAAAGTCACAGTCTCTGTAATGTACACGCGTTCTCGTAAATCATAGCTAACGACGCGACGCTATAGGCCTGTGGCTAATCTTTTAACTACCACGCCCCCCTTTAGGAATTTGTCCTTCCCTCCATGCCTCCCTTGCATCTGTAAATAAGATTCCTTCCCAGATTTTAAAGAAAATTATGTATGTTTTTTATTTGTCTTTTTAATGAGTATAAATTAGTCGCATTAAAATTGACCAATGCCCTCGTTGAGAGAATAACTAAGATAAATAGAGAAATTACTGCCTTTTATCTAAAGACTCGCACCCCTTCGAAATATACTGAAGCCCCCTAGGGGAGGACGCCCCCAGATTAAGAATCACTGCTATAGGCCTACGTACATACGTTCCGACAAAATACTAGTTATTACGTTTCGTGCCATTTTCACGCTAGCACGAGTTATTTATGACCTTAGATGAAAAACAGTCAGTCTGAAGAGCTCATGTTACGAGTTATTAATGGGTACAAGTTACTGCACAAATTTATTCATTATCAATCGTATATCATCTCGCTTATGCTCTATTCCGGCAAAATAAACGCCGGTTATATATGTACAAAGTTATCATTTAGCGTATTGGGATATTGTATGATAATTTTGGTTTGGTTGTATGGTAATTATATACGGATAATTTGTGTTGGACTTTGTAGTAGGCAGCGTTTCCTTCATCAGAAAGTAATTAGTGTAGATATGAATGACAGTAAACACACAGCATTTGTGAACGTAAATGAGTAATTTGAGCAAAAAGTCGAATATCTAGAAATAAACTAAAGCTCGATACGAGAATATTAAGGACAGTTTTCGTCTGTCTTACACACGCGCAATGGTAAGTTTTTTGACATGCTAGCGACAGTCATTATGGATATTACGAAAATTTGCCACCTGCGGCGTCCTGGCAGCGTTGCACGATAATGTGAGACCTCCCGGTGGCAACAGTGTCAGTATTGCCATAATATGTCTTTTATCAATCATCATTACTATATTGCAGCATACCAGAAAGTGATATATCTTTTTATTGTGAATTTGAGTGTTTATACGACCGAATATTGTAATACGAAGACAGTAGAAGATAAGAGAGCGTGGATTTCTACAGAAGACGAAGACACGCACCGTCTAGCAAAGAACTTTTAACGACGCTCCCGCTTCCTTTCGTGAATGACTGTGAGACCGGTGTGACGTCACTAAGGCTCACGCATTGTCGGGACTTAGCTTGTTATCGCTGTCACTGTCAGGCATTGTTGTTTGGGGACAAGTTGGCGGGGGAGATAGGGATATTAGATTGATGGGGGGGGGGCAAATGGAAAGGAAATTCAAGAGGAATTGAACTCTCCACGAAGATAAAACAGCCTTCTTGAATATTCACTTTAATTCTACTTAAGTGATATAAAATGCTACCGGGAAGCATCCGTCCACGTAGTATTATAGTCTAATATATGGGGACAAAGAACCTCGCATTTACTTCATTTTCCCCCAGATTATACGTTAGGCTTGGCTGAACTTCCCCCCCCCCCCCAAACGACGTAACTTATAGGGAGAACAATTTTCCTCGCTAGGGAAAGACGAGTTGTTTTACGATTGCCAGTGGCTTTATTCAGGAAGTATGATCGTAAAGCATCTCCTAGGGAGGCGGGGAAAACCTGGGGGAGGATTTTAGGGGAAAAGTGACCAGACAGAGATAAGGGAAGAAAAATGTCTGGTAAATATGACCAGGATGAAGATAATCGTAAGATGGAGGGAAACGAACACAGCTGAAGAGAATACGGACACAGCGAAAAGAGACAATTAAATAAAGACAGTGTAAAAGACAACATAATGGTGCGTCGACATAATGAAAAGAGGTCTGGAAAGATAATCACACGGCGAGTTTAATTAGAAGTCTGTAATTAATTTTTTTTTTATTGCGAGGAACATAAAACAAAAGAAAAAAAAAAACATGAAAGCGTGACAGGCAAGGAACTGAAAACAAGACGTACTCTTTACCAGCTTAAATAATCACCCTCGTTGCAGCTGACTCACAGAACAATCAATTTTATACGCATTAATAGACCGAGTCAAAATATTACTCTCCGGCCATCTCTAAATGAAGATCAATAGTTGATCTTAATGTATATCGAAGATCTTGGATGCATCTAAACTGTTCTAAAGTATGTTCCCATTTGTTATTTGATTTGTTAACAGGATTTATGAACTAATAGGAAAATTCATATATGGTGGATAGGGAACATTTTCAAGTGGGTAAAAAGGTAGATAGGTAGTTAAGTAAAGACGACCGATAAAAAACTCTACAATTTGTAATTTGTAAAGAAAATGAGAAAAAAAGAGATAAGAAAGAGTAAAAATAAAATGTATCATTGACCTACTTCGATGTGGCTTCTGCTCAGAATCTTAACGTATTGTCGCGAAACGGTAAGTGGTATCATTTTTTTTTGTGTGTGTGTGTATTTCGAAAAGTCATCTTTAATTTTTCTTTCTTTTTTCAGAGTCTACATTCTCTCTTGTTCTCTTATTTTTCAGTGTTGGTTATTATCAGGTGAAACTGGCTGTCACTCAGAAGACTATTTTCGCAAATGTAGTGAATACACCTATATACGAATGACCCAGCACTGCATGTTACTACCGTTGAAAATCGATTCTCCAGCGTTGCACGAACGACGTCAGCGACAGTCACCGCCACCTGGAATGTCTGACAGAACGGAAATACGAATGGAAATTATGCCCCTTTTTCCACCGAAATTACCCCTTCCTTCACCACAGCTGCGGTGGGGCTCAGCTGTACCGGTAGGCCTTTGTTATATCACGGGAGAATCGTAGGTGACTCATGCATGGACCCTTCCCCCCCCACCCCCATCCGTTATTCATGCACCCCCCCCCCTCCCCGTCCTCTCTCTCCACGTAAACCTAGAACTACAACCAAAGAATATAAACTCGACCAACACCATAGGTATGAACCAAAACCCGCCACCATTTTTTTGTATATTTTTTTTTAAATCTCACTCTCTCTTTGCTTTCTCTCTTTTATTCCCCACCAAACCCGCCACCATTTTGTTCCTCTCTTTCTCCCTCTCTCTCTTCCTCTCTTTCTTCATATTCACTTTTTTTCGTTGATCTATTTACAAATCTCACCCATTCCTGTCGATGACGCGTCTGTGCGGTGCCAGGTAACCCGTCGAGGCCTCGTAACCGGACGCATCTTCGCTCAGGTACGCCAAGGAAGCCACGATAACGGCCAGGAGGAGCGCGAAGCCGATCTGGAATGGGAACGGAATTGGAATGGAGAATTCCCGACGGACAACTCCCGGCGGAAAAGTTCCAACGGAGAATTTCCAACTTGGAATTTCCAACTTGGAATTTCCAGCGGATAATTCCCGATGGAGAGTTTCCTTTCCATATTTGCTTCCTTTTTGTGAATTAGTTTTTAAAAAATTAATTCTGTAAATCAGCATCTATTTAGGGGAGTTCTAACTTCAGCACTGAAATATCCATGTCTATCTATTTACCTGCCTGTCTATCTGTCTGTTTGATTAACTATCTTTATGTCTATCTACTTGTATTTCTATATAATTGATAATATGTGTGTGCGTGCGTGTGTTTATGTGTGTGTGTGTGTTTTAGTGTGTGTCGGCTAATGTGTGTCTGTTTATTTCCCATAAAAAAAAGAAATATAATTTTCTTGTATCATATAACTGGAATATCCATTTACAATCACGTCAACATCCTCCTCATATAAATACAATACTCAACCAAGTCACTCACCGTTACGATTTGGTTGTAGGTGAAAAAATCCGTCAGGGGGATGTAAATGAACCTCTTCTGTCTTGAATTAACCTCCTCTGACGTCACATCCCGGGAAGCCGTTGCCATGACAACCTGAAGCGCGAGCACCACAGCTGCAATGGATAGTGTCCTTCGCCCGTCCATCGCGATCTG